GCCCCCACTCGAAGCACTCAGCTCACTAACAGCCTGGCCTGCAAGCTCCTTCCTTTCCCCACTGCCTCTGGCTGGGCAGGCACCCCAGGAAAGCCCAAGATCCTCCAGCCCGGGGTGCTGGATAGGAGGAGCCAAGCTCCGCACCTGCCAAAGTCCTGCACAGCGCTGGCACAGGGAAGCGTCTCCGCCCCTCAGCTAAGCTCTGAAGTGATGGGGGGAAGCGATTTCCAGCCTGTTTGTTCCCCAACCCCACAGGCTCCACAGCAGGCCCCGGGTAGGGGCTTAGCACCCTCTTCACCTGCCCCCTAGGGCACAGGGCTGCTCCGTCCTCTAGGCACCCTCCCCTGCTGAGCCACCTCTCTGGCCGGGTTCACTGAAGCCCCTGGTGCACAATGCATTCTTAGGGCTTAACCCCTTCCTATCCGCGCTGGAGCTGGGGAACAGGAGGCAGCTGGGTTATGTCGGTGGCCAGCAGCAGCCTGGAGGTGTTAGCTGCCTTTCGACACTATGCGGGCAGGAAGGGACAAGCTGCTTCCAGTCATGGGGGGAGGGGCGGAAAAGAGAGATGAGCTCTGCAAACCCACGGGCCAGGTCATCCCTCCACCACCACCACCACCCCCCACGAAGCTGGAAGTAGCTCCCATCCCTTCCTTCCCCTCCCACAGAGTGCAAAAAGGCTGCTGCTGGCCAGTCTGGTATGAATCCTGGCAGAAAGCAGGGGGTGGGAGGTATGTGACCCTGTGAAGATGTGACACCAGGAGTGGTGGGACCATCCCAGGGGCCCAGCCAGGCATGGAGGACAGAGAGTGCCAAGCAGAGAGAGTTAGGACAGTCAGTTACCCCACACCCCATCTGAGAGATGTGTACAGGAGTGCGTGTGTGTGTCACCTCTCCCCTTGTGGAGGGGGTGGAGTAGAGGAGTGTGTGTAACCTCTCCCCCCTGTGAATCCTAAAGCATTAAAAATAAGAAGGTAAATAAAAAGAATCCAACTACAAGTATTTCTTTTTAACAAGGGCTCAGTCAACTTGATGTTAATTTGAACATTTGTACTGCATGGTTTGGATTGATTACCATTGATCTTGCTTGAATATGAGTCATTTTACTAGGTGTCCTGTATTCAGCACAGGGAAATATGGCCATCCTGTCTGCTAGATGGAAGAGCCAATTATAAAATATTTGTTCCTCAAATAGGTACTTATAGACTGCATTAAGTCACCCCTTAACCTTCGCTTTGTTAAGATAATAGACCAAGCTGCTTGAGTATCACTATAAGGCAGGTTTCCTAATCCTTTCATCATTGGCATGGCTCTTCTCTGACCCCTCTCCAATTTATTAACATCCTTCCTGAACTGTGGGCACCAGACCTGGACACAGGATTGCAGGAGCCGTCGCACCAGTGCCAACTACAGAGGTGAAACTAATCTCTCTGCTCTAACTCCTCTTCAGGTATCCCAGGATCACATTAGTTGTTGATTATCCACCACGGCTCCCAAGCCTTTTTCAGAGTCCCTGCTTCCCAGGAGAGAGCCCCTCCCCCCACAGCCTGTATGTACGGCCGCCATTCTTTGTTCCTAGATGCATCTATTTACATTGATCTGTATTAAAAACACACATGGTTTGCCTGCATCCAGCTTACCAAGCATGCCAGCTTGCTCTGTAACAGTGACCTGGCCTCTTCATTATTTACAAGGCTAGATTTTTGTGGATCTGAAGACACTTCCTAGGAGCATGGATAACCTAGTGTTCATCTCCACCAGTTACCACGTGTTCACGTACAACTCACCCTGTCTACATGTGGGAGTTAAAACAGGTTAGTTAACAGGTTTTCAAATGCGACTTTTATCCTAGTGTGGACAGGTCCCCCACACAGGCTCTGTTGAACACATTTATAATCTTGTTTCTGGTGGACTTGTAAGGTAAGGTAGGGCAGGGAGTGAGCAGCTATAATTAGATGTGCCAGCGGATAGATGGCATGGCATGCTCCAGCTGCTGCCTAGGGGCTCATTCCTGCAAAGCGCTGAGCCCTCTGCCCCATCTCCAGCACAACAGGTACCATGGATGTAGCTTTCAGCACAGGCAGTGATTTGGGATTGCCCGTGTGCGTAAAGTTGTGCCTAGGAGCCTTGCTGGCTTGGGGTCTAAATGAGCAACATCAAATTAGGCAGTGAGGTTCTGGCTGGCTCAGGATAGGCTCTGGGGTACAGAGCCTTTCACCTCTGCATCACCTCTTCAGATCCTAGTCAGTGGCCCAAAGGCTATTCCTTGCTGAGTGCTGTTTGGTGGCGCACATGACAAAGTGCTGTTCTCAGCACCGCCCCTAGTGGACATGTCTCCATCTTGCAACCTGAATTAACGCTGTCCTAACTTGCCCCTTGTTGGCAGTCCCAGCAATGGGGTGAGATCAGAGGAGCTCCCAACCGCTCCAAGGGCACAGGTGGAGCGAGCTGGTGGGGAAAACGTGCTCTGTGGATAAGCAGCACACTTCTCTCTGCAGGGCCGGCACCTTGCCCCAGCTCGGAATTCACTTTTGAACGAACGCTTCCCCTTTTCCATCACTGCCCCTGAATTCCAGTAGCGGATCTGCAACGAGATTAACATCTCCCCCAGCTCCCAGCCCCACTTTGTCCCTGGCTGCCCCCCTTGCAACGTGGTGCAATGTGGCGACTTCCTTAGTGTTCCTGTGACTTCGTGGCTGTGCTTTGACTCAGGCAGGGCAGCTCTGAATGGCAAAAGAGGCTGGCGTTTCATTTCCTTGGCTTCCCAGTAAAGTCATCTTAACCACGCTAACCAACAGACAGGAAGAAATGTCGTATTGCTGAGAATTAGAACTTACCCACAATACCCGTCATCTCCACCCCATTCCCCAATGCCCCTCCCAGTCTGTTTCTGCTCAGTCCGATGATGGTTGATTAAGACTTCCCACAAGTGGAATTACAACCCAAGGACACCTGAATACACATAGCCACATGCCTAGATGATTTGCTGACTAACTGCTTTGCTGAATCAGGGCCTCAGTTTCCCGCCCAACAGCTCTCTTTCCACATGGCAGGACCCCTCCAGCTAAGAGATGGGGCTGTAATCATGACCACACTCACGCTTTAGTTAATTAAAAGTCACAGCTTTATTGAGACTTTTTTGGGTGGGGAGGAGAGGTTAACAAAAAAATTACCCTCTACAACATGATGCAAAATTAACATGGAAACATAATAAATAGGTCTTTTAATAGTCATATCATTATGATACTAAAGTGCTTTGAGAAAGGATGTAACAGAGCCAGTGTATATGATGCAAGAAAGGGTTTGCGAATATCAGAAAATGTAGTGCAGCAAAATATGCTCCATAGCTGGGTGGCCAACACCCAGGAAACTGACCAAGGAGAATTCTGCTTATTTCACAGTTTATCCTTATCTCACTAGTTGAGCGGAAATGATCAGACACAATCAACTCGGGGGGGGGAGGGGAGAACTCCAGTCTTCTCTCTCCATTAGGAGACTGGTCTCCATCCATCCATCCATCCAGCACACATCATGGAGAGAGGAAGCCATAGAGCAGATCCTCTGCTGGGGTAAATCACAAGTCAAGTGTATAAACTCAATACAAAAGGTTAAGCAAGTATAAGTCAATGTAAGGTTTAAAAAATTTTTTGGACCCAAACCTCTGAATAGAGATGGATGCAAAACAACCCCCAGATCTGAGGCTATTTTCTACTCTGGGGCAGTTCAGACACAGCTTTCAACTTCGTGGCTAGTTCCTCTCACTGTGCAGGGCTCAACAAGACGCCAGAGCTATTTGCCCCCTGACCTGGAGAGAAGTGCAGATCCAGAACTTAATAGGGCTCAGGTCTAGCTCTAGTTCTATTGCAGGTGCACCTGTTCACACTCAGATCAATCACAAATGATTGTAAGATCCAGGTGACCAGCCACTTATACACCCAGATGATCAACTAACATTCACAGAGGTGCTCAGCTACTGGATTTACACACACAAATGATCTGCTCTCACTCTCAGATATTTACACACACACACACACACACACACACCCCTGAAATGCATTTCTCCCACACTCTTGGGAGGGGTCAGAGAAACATCTCCTTTTCTGGTGAGTAATCTCCAGCGCCCTGCAGTTGCACAGTGCTTTAGGGTAATTGTGGTGTAGATATTTGGGCTCCGGATGGAGCCTTGGCTCTAGGATCCTGTGAAGGGGGACGGTCAAAGATCTCAAGGTCTACACCACAATTAAACAGCCCCTTAGCCTGAGCCCCGCAAGCGGGAGTCAGCTGGCATGGGCCAGCGGCAGGTGTCTGATGGGAGTGTAGCCATACCCTTAGAGAGGAGAGGAATCTGCTGGAGACAAGCCGGGAGACTTGCCTGGGCAGGTTGGGAGTGGAATAGATAATGGTTTCCAAAAACATAGCAACAAGAACATTAGACGAGACCAACAAGCCGTCAAGATGTGCGGTTCTGGTGGATCCCCCCAGCCTTGATCCTCACCACTTGCCCAGAGTCTGCAGGCACCCAGGACAACTGCATGAATAAATAAAGCTCATCTTCTGTATGTGTGCGCCTCACCTGACATCCCCCCGGGTGCAGCCCGACTGAATCTTGTCCCTGCTTAGCTGCACTCTCCCTGCCTCACAGGCTGCTGCTGTCCATAGGCACTGACTTCTGGCGCCGGTGGGTGCTTGACCCCCCTCTGCACCCGGCCCCGCCCCAACTCCACCCCTACCCCACCCTCTCCTGCCCCCATTCCAACCCCTTCCCCAAAGTCCCCGCCTCAACTCCGCCCCCTCCCTGCCCCTATTTGACTCCTTCCCCAGATCCCTGCCCCGGCCTCGCCTCCTCCCGAGTGCACCACATTCCCGCTCCTCCCCCCTCCCTCCCGGAGCTTGCTACAGATGTTCGACGGCAGCAAGCGCTGGGAGGTAGGCGGAGGAGCAGGGACGCAGCGCGCTCAGGGGAGGAGGTGGCAGCGGCAGGGCGGGGAGCTTGACTGCCGGTGGGTGCAGAGCACCCATTAATTTTTCCCCATGGGTGCTCCAGCCCCAGAGCACCCACGGAGTCGGCGCCTATGTTGCTGTCTACATCAATTGCTCTGCCTTTCCCTTTTAGCAGAGAAACACCAAGGCAGGATCCTTCCCCATCCCCTGACCTCCTGGTGACCGATCTGCAGACCCTTCCTCTTCTAGTGCAGAACACTTATTAAAATGATCTTTCCATCTCTTCCACCCCTCCTCCCTGACAGCCCCCTCCATTCCCTGCCCCCCCGGCTATGTCACCTCCTGCGCATCTTCCTGTCCCAAACCATGACTCCGCTCTCCTTTATTTTGCCCCCTTCCTCTCCCCTGAGCCTAGCTTCCCTTGTGTGCACATCCCTCCCTCGCTAGACAGTCAGATCAGCCCCGTGTTACTCTTTGGTGGCATTAGCTTCAGTCCCGTCTTGCCCCCTCTCTTTGGTGGCCTCAGCTCCTGTGCTGCATGGAATCAGGAGAGGGATCTGGGCTGGTTTCATCCCCTCCATTCAGTGTCCCTAAAACACCTTCCGGCATAAAGCTGCCATGATGGATTCAATGGGCACAGACATGTGGGGGGATGGAATCCATCTGCTTCGAGTGGAAGGGATGCCACTTACGAAGTTGAGAGGGGGGCCAAGGTGCACAAAGATGAATGTCCAGAGAGCAGCCACTGGGATGGGGCTATCCCTTCCTTGCTCAGGTGCTGGTAAGAAATTGAAGAGGATCAACAGTAGTCCAAATGGTGAGTCCTGGCCCATGGGTGTGGACACCACCCCACCCTTTCACTGGAACAGCAGGGCAAGAGCCATCATCTGCAGGAAGCCCAGCCAGAAGGAGGGGGAGGCGGCCACAGCCTGGCTGCTCTGCCTCAAAGTCTGGGAGGGCACAGGCTGCTTCAGCAGCCATTCCTTCACGAGGGTTTGGGAGAAGCCACTCTCCTCCGAGATGCAGGTGTAGCGCCCGTAGTGGTCGTGGGTCATGTTCTCGATGAAGTGGATGCAGGGCCCGTGGGTGGAGCTGCAGTTCTGGATGCGGCTGCTATTGTGGTGCCACATGTAAGTGGCGGCGTGGGATTCGGTGGGGCAGTGCAGGAAGTAGCGGGAGAAGAGCGCCACAGTGACGTTCCGGTAGCTCTCCGGGCTGTCCACTGGCAAGAGAGGGGAAGCGAGACAGTTGTCCCCAAAACATGGTCCGGCATGAAACCAACATGTTTCCCCTTACTCATGGGGGTGGGGTGGGGAGAAGGTCTCAACCCACCCACCTATTCTGCATGTCCACCCAACCTGAATACACAAGCCTGATCTGAGGGGAACATTTCCATGGACTTCAATGAGCTTTGCAAGGCCAGGGTTTGGAGGCTCCCTCCTGCCTCTTTAAAAGGCCCCAGACCACACCCAGGCAGATTTTAAAGGAGAAAAAGGCCCCTCTCTATCCGACCCCAGCAGCCCCCTGAAATAAGTCAGGGCCAGCTGGGTGCCTGCAGAGTTCCCATTGCTATCAGTGGAGCAGGAGACATGCATGCAGGAAGGGAATGTGGAACCTGGGTTTACAGCAGCTGTGAGGAACCATTGCTGAGAACAGCGGGATGAAGGGTTACTATGGATCGTGGGGGCTGTACACAGGGTGGTCTGATTCCAGCTTCCTTTGACTTCAGGTATTTTATAATGGTTAATTTGGCTGTGCCCCATTTTCCTGGGCAGGAGTGGATCAGTCCTGCGTGTCATAGACTCTATTCTGCTCATAGCGATTCTCTAGTTCAAGTGGCAGGGGCCTGTGCTTTCAGAACAGGAGGAGCTGAGCTCTAGTCCTGAGGAAGTTGAGTGGCCTCACTTGGCACTGTGCTTCGTGCCATGAAATGCTAGGGGCTGTGAATCCATCACCTTATTTAACTACAGACAGGTATTAACACAACTCTGCACATAACAGGAGTGAGAGATTCAGTCCTTCTCACCCGACTGCAGGTACTAGCTGCTTAGTAGCTTCAGTCCCCCTTCCCACGGAGGGGATAGCAGTTTACGCATAACAGCGCTTACTCTTGGCCTGTCCTCACTCCAGTATTAGCGGGGAGGAGAAGAGAGATCAGTACTCCTGGGTTAACCTCCAGGTGTGAGCAGCCACTGCAAAGCCTTGCCCATGTTAATACATCCTCACTGGTGCTGTGCTCCCCCATGGGTTGCTAGGACTTCTGGGGCCCATTCCAGGATTCCTAGCACTGCAGTGAGCTAAGCCTCTCTCTGATTCTTCCCAGTGAGTTGTGGGAGTCTGTCCTGCTGGGCACAAGGTGGATTTGGGGAAGGCAGTGAAGGACTACCAACTCGCAGGTGCATCCTCGCTGCAAAGTGGGCAGGTTACCAGCGCCAGCGAAAGCAGCCCCCAAGCACTAGCCTGCACCCCCTGCCGAGCCACCTAGCCTGGGTGCAAAGCACCACTAAACCCGGAGAGTTTAGTGGGACGGGGGTTGGGGCAACACCCAGGAAAGAGCCTGAGTCAACTCTGCAGCGAAGGCAGATCCTACAAGGTACAATCCTCCCAAGGAAGGTAAAAGGGTGTATTAGAAACCTTTTCCTAAGATATTAATTACCTACCCTACCCGCGCCCCAACCACCCGACTTTTCCCAAGAGCAAGTGGCTCTAGAAATCAAAGAGCAGCGCTGATCGTTAAAAGTACCTTCCTGCTGTCTGAAGACCGAACGGGTACATATTTCCGGTGAGGACTCCAGGGTCACATTCTGTAGCATTGTCCTGAATAGAAGGGAAGTGGGAACAACCATTAACAGAGAAATAAAAGTCACTGAGTTGTTTATATTGGATTCCTTTCCTGGCCTTTGAAGATTTCTCTCCTATGGATCAGAGTTGGCCCTCCTCCTTCCTGGCCCACCAAGTGACTGGGTGAAGGGAGAGAGAGACGTTGTACCATGTCCAATAATCTCCTCCACACACATTCACTCTGCACAAGTCTTTTAGGGCCTGTCTACATTACAAAAACAACACTAATCCCTGGCTCTTATCTAGTGCATTTTATCAGTAGATCTCAAAATGCTTTATCAAAGGAGAGCAGGACCATTATCCCCATTTTGCAGATGGGTAAACTGAGGTAGAGAGGGGAAGTGACTTGCCCCAGGTCACCCCGCAAGCCAGAGGCAGAGCCAGGAATAGAACCCTTGTTTCCAAAGTCCCAATCCAGTGCTGTGGCTGCTAGGCCATGCTGACTGCCCTGTGTACACAGGACTGTGACCAAATCACCTTCTTGTCTGTGAGGACAGGTAAAGCAGGTTATAACCACATTGGAGAGCCAAGTGCCAGCCTGGGTAAAGCCATTAGTAATACTTAGTGCTGTTTGCATTGGTAGATCTCAACAGCTCAGGCTGTGATACTTCTCCCCTCCCCTTGCACTCTTCCATGGGAGAAACTACACCCAGTAACACCTGGGCAGGTAAGTGTTCTCCATGTACTCAAGGATCTCAACTGCTTGTGGAGCAATGGGCCAGAGCATGAGCTGGGGTCAATTGGTGCAGCTCCATTAACTTTGATATCACTATATTGTCTGGCCCCATGTGAATAAGGGTCTCTCAGGCTGACGCAGAGGTAGGTAGGTATCATCTCTTTCTCATTGCTGGGCACTGCCGTGTTCCACCCCAGAAGTGGGTGCATTTAAAGCAGGGAGTGAAAGCTCCATCTAGGCTCAGGATTAGCCAGGGTCTTGGCCAATGGATACAGTGCTTTCCGGAGGAAAAGCTAGCATGGCTAGGTCAGCTTCCATGCTGCAGTCAAGGGGTGTGATTGCAGCTCAAGCAGACACACCCAAGCTAGCGTTAATCCTGGAGCAGTGAAGCTGCAGCAGGGCGAGCTCTCTCATAGGCTGTCCAAACCCACCCAGTACCCTGGGGAGCTCCTCGTGGGGCAAGCCAGCGCTCAAGCTTCCACTGCTGCAGCTTCACTGTTCCAGGACCCACGCTAACTAGATTGTAACTCGAGGTCGGCAGCTTGAGCTGCAATCTCACCAGGTGATTGCAGTCTGGATAGGCTTTACGCCTGTGATGGGGAAAGCAAGGGGGTGTTAAGGGTCAGGGTGTTTTTATTGTCACCAGCACTGACACCAGAAACAAGCAATAAAACAGTGAGCATCAAAGGGAGACATACAGGTTAGTTTTAATGGAGACGCATTTCCCATCTGCCCATCCGCAGTAAGGATCCGTTGCCATGACGCAGCTCTCGCAGCTCCTGTTATATACCTCGCACATGTCCATGGGCAACTGGACCACCTCGGTCGGCGAGCTCACATACAGCTTTGCCTGCATGGGGAAAACAAGGCAGAGCTATTACTCCAGCAGCAGTTCCTCACACCAGGCGCCTTCCTGAACCCCTTCTAGTCACAGAATACTCTTCATTCCAAAGGCTCCCAAAGCTCTCAGTGGGCTAATACCTGCACAACCAAGGATCACTACCATTGCAATGCAGCCATCTCTGGGGTGGAACGCCGCAGCTGTGTAACAGCAGACAGCACGGCGATGCTACACAACAAGCAGGGAAGTGAAGAAGAACGTAGCATCCCACCAGAACTGCAAGAGGAAGCTGAAATTGCAGCTACCCAGGTTGGGATTTGGAAACTGGGCCCTGGGATTAACATCCCTGTTCTTCCAGAAAGTGGCTTGGAATCCCCAGTGCTCAGGGGCTTGATCTGATGTCTGGGAGGCAGTCTTTGCCCAGCAAGGAGCAATTCCAGGGAACGTTACATCTGGAGATCAGGTATTTTAAGGTGTCTCTCTCCCTTCCTTTACGGCTAGCACCTGACCCTTGGTAGCGTGAGTGATTCGCCCACAATTAGCAGGTGGCATCAGGACTCTAGGTAGGACTTAGGACAGCGTTTCTCAAATGGGGGTCTCAACCCAAAAGGGGGTCACAAGCCTATAATATATGTGTGTGGGGGGAATCACGGTAGTGCCACTTACTTCTGCGCTGGGTGGCCAGAGAGCAGTGGCTGCTGGCTGGGCACCCAGCTCTGAAGGCAGCACCGCCACCAGCAGCAGCGCAGAAGGAATGGTGGCATAGTATGGGAGTGCGTCGTCAATTTTTTGTGTGTGGGGGAAAAATGGGTGGGGGGAGTCGTCAGAGGGGCACTCAGCAAAAAAAGTTTGAGAACCCCGACTTCGAGAAATGTCCTTCAATCCTATGGGAAGCTGGAGGCAGCTCCAAGATATAGACAACCCAAGCCCTGATAGGAAAGCCAGGCTGTTTCCAAGTCTGGTGCCCAGATTCTGCGGCTTGTATCACTGCAGGTGGGCTGCAGCCTTCCAGACATCTCCTCTCCGCTGCGGGGGGCCGGGATGAGGCTATGCAGAGCGACGGAGGAAGGAACTCACCCTTCTATGATCCAGGGTCATGGCCAGGATGGGAGCTTGCTGTTGAAAGGGCTGGATCTCCAGGATGTTCAGGACGCCGTGCGGCATTGCCACCATTTTGTGGATATACCCTTTGTCTGCAAGAGACAGGAGAGCACAGGTCAGCCCACAAAGCAGGGAGACTTGGAAGCGTAGGAGGATGGTGCCAGGGCTATGCAGGGAGTGGGGGAGAGAAAAAGCAGGGTCAAGATCAATGGCCCTGGGTCTAAAAGCAGAACCTGCCTTTTCTGCAGTGTCTCAGGCTGCATGGGAAGACAATGCCCTCTTTGCGAAGCTTGGTATGAATTAGTCACAGGAACCAGCAGCCCATTGGAGCTTCCCGCAAGAGGCTGATTCCAAGGCCCTGACTGCTGCTGCTACGGATGGCAAAACAATGGCAGCCTTTTCGGAAAGGGTTCAGCAGGGCAAAAGCACCATGGAGAACACGGACAACAAAGGCTGGTCCTGTCATTGAGTGCGCTCAGCTCCATACTCTGCAGCCCCCGGGAGCTGGTTCCCCGTTGCCACTTCTCACAGACTGGGAGAGGAGGCCCTGCTGCTAAGAGCAGGAAGGCGTGACTGTCCCTTTAACACCACGGAAAGGAAAATAAACCCAACCCAGATCTTTCCCCATCTAGGGGAATTTGACT